GTGTGCCTTGGCAGCCAGATGTCACTGTAGTGTATATTTCTGTATATCTTTTTGAAAATCTAGTGTATTCATCATTTTCCTACACATTTATTCACAGGTGTCTTTAACCAGGAAGTTGCTCTTTAAAAAGGAGCTGCAACAGATCTGATACAGACTGATCCAGATTTGAACACTTCTATGACGTCACAGAAGTGGCGCTACGGCTATTGTGCCAACTCCACCAATCAGGAGGAGACAGCCACGGACATTGCCGTTCGAAAGCGCTGGAGACGCTGTAGTACATATGCCAGGCCTGTAGATGGTGCTGTTCTGACAGAATCAGCCCATGAAAAGACAGTGTTAAATTGAGCGAAATGAGGAATGGCTAAAATGCATGATCTGTTTGGTATTTTGAAAAATAAAAAGTATAAATATGTCTTATATAGGTATGGTCCTACACTATATTATTCTAATATAGCATGATAGGTCCACTTTAAACTTACCTACCCCACCTTTAAGGTTAAAGTTATTTTCCCCCTGATTTTGTCCAATCTATGAACTTTCACTTGGACTCGGCATACACAAAACTGAGTCTTCCAGTTAAGTGTTCTTTGGTTTGGCATCACTGAGTGTAGTTGGGCCCTCCGCAGCCAAGGGCCCTGGAGCCATGCATTGATGCCGCCATGAGAGGCCTCCACCTGCCCATCACGGCACAGTGAGGAGACGCAAATCAACGGCTTTAGGTCTGGACATCTGCAGAGGAGCAGGGAGGCAGCCAAGGCAAATGAAGAGCTCTTCACATATACATCTGGCAGTGCCAGGGAAACGGCTCTCTACAAACAAAGACAAGCAAATTTGACATTTGAATTTGAACACTTGAATTGAACCATTTCATGGCTGCATGTTTACATGTGAGGAATCACTTTAGGACTTATACTAGACGCAGCATTGTTGAAAAATAGATGATAAAATTGTATAATGGAAGATCGTTAGAAACTTCTCATGTTGCATGTTCAGATATACATTTTTTCAGCAAAAAATGTACCGTATAGTTAATTAATTAAATAAAAGAAAGTTAAAAGTCCTTAAAGCTTAGGGCAGCTGCTGATTCAGGTGACAATTTGACTGGAGGTTTGTCCCTACACGAGGCCCCCTTTCGTTGTGCCAACTAGATCAATTAGATAAATGCACACACACACACACACACACACACACACACACACACACACACACACACACACACACACACACACACATATTTAACGGCAGGCTCCCCGGGCAGTGGAGTGCTTCAGTTATGTAAACTGGCCCGGGTTTGGAGCAATTCAACCGTCAGGATTTTGCATCCTCACCAAGCCCCTGCAGCTGCGAATGCAAACAAGAAACTCTCACTTTCTTCACACACGCACACACTTATACAAAGACACATACAAACACAAGCATACACACCCAGACAAACAGCTTTTGGCTTGTATTCAAATAGAATAAAAAAGCACTTTCTTATAACATGATACACATTTCTTGAAAGGAGGAAACCCTTCTTGAAAATGTGTTTAGCTTATAAAAAGAAAGAAAGTGCCTTTAAAGGAATATTATGGATCATTCGGAACATAAATATATTTTTGAGACAATATAATATTAACTTAAAACGGGCTCTAATCAATATTTTCAAACCTATCAAATGACTGCTAAAATAATATGTGAATGTAAAATGGGTCTCTGGTATTGATGAACCCAGAGATTATTATCACCTTTATTTGCAGCTCTAAGGAGCTTAATAGAGTATTTCAGTTTATTGTTTAGCTATCTTACCCTCAACTTCACATGTTGGTTCACTCTTATCGTTTTAAGCCACAACTGAAAACTGGCCATTAAAGGGTCCCAGGATGACCATTTGAGTTACTGATAACCTATTGAATCATATGGACTGATAGTTGAGTTAAAAAACAGTTCACTGGCTCTATATAACTATAACCAGCAAAACCATGGCCAAGCCCCAAAAAGTGGAAAGAGAAAGTCCTTTAAGGCCTCATTGAGCCCACATATTTTAAAAGGCTGGTTGTTTTTGCATCAGACAATTCCTATACAAGTCAAATATGACAATTTGGCATTCACACCCATTTTTCTTTTTAATTGGCAAGGTGTGTGGAGGTCACAAGGTAAGAAGCTTATTTGTCAACCTTCCCACTACTTGTGTACTACTTTTGAGTGCCAAACTAATTGCAATACTGTAAGTGCTTTCCAATAACTATTTGCTAAACAATTATTTAATCTCCCTCCTTGGCTTTTGAGTTTGGCATTTCGGAACATCTATAAACAATTTTGCTTTAGGCGTGTTCAGACCTTAAGACTAAAAGTTTCCGACCTTGCTTTTATGTCATTAAAGTTATACTTAAATTCACACCAAAATGTGAATTATCTGGATAAATTGTATGACTTCTGTATCATTTAATCCTTGTTTGGTCTGCTACCAAATTGAGGCCAAAAACGTATACTACTGAGTCGCTGTATAGCACTAGACAACTGAGTTCATTTTACCGGCTGACCCCTAACACTAACCCTGTAACAATTTAATATTTGTATAGGTCTTCATACCAAAAAATACCGTTAAGGCTTGAAACATAGTCATTTGTTTTTTTTCAGCCGCAAGATCCACATAAATAAACCTCCATTGTGTCTTACAAACCAAACAGTTTGAAAACAATGCAACAAAACACATTGCCTGAAATACACACCCATCAGAGACAAAAAAACATGTTATATAAATTTGAACTGCTACCTCAGAGTTATACGCTATCCAAGAGTCAACAAATGATAATCAAATCAAACAAATTATCACTGGGAACCTATCTTCACCAAGACCATAACACTAGAATAAACTTTAAACTTAAACAAACTTTATTTATAGATTAAGAGATCGGATCTATTAGTGTATCAGATAATCAAAATGTCCACGTTTACATCCCTCTTGATATTTAGTTGTGGATCAGGTTTTCTTTGTATGACTCACACACAGAATGACTCACCCTTGGCTGATAGAGACAGTATCTATATACTCTAACAGAGCTCACAATTATAGTCATGCCTGGTTGCAAGTGTCAGTGCATCTTTGTCAGTTGGCCTCTATTAGGATCCATGTGTCAACACCTCATAGAAGTCTCAGCCTGCAAAGGGCCGAGGCGGCTGCACGGGACATTTTACCCGTGCCTGCACCTGAAAAGAACTCCAGTTGCACAACAGGATTGCACGTTAAGATCGAGCACTATCCTCCTTATTTTGTTCTACTTCATTAACACAGATTCATTTCTCTGCGTGTCTGCTGTCTGAGAGCGAGGCAGTCAGGAGGGTGGAGGTGGGAAGAGTCGGAGGAGATGTGTTACCAAACACAGCTCTTGTGGCTTTGGCAAAGTGTTTCCCATGAAGTAAAGCTTTTGATCTCTTAAATTGTTGCAGCACCTTCTGTTTGTGGGCAAGTATTGGCACGCAATTCAGTCTACAAAGTAATTGAATTTAAAACAGGTTATTTTATACTATATATATATTAATTTGCTTTCTTTGTGAAATGAGAAGATTGACCCTACTCTCATCATATGATTAAAATAAAAAGCTACAGCAATTGTCTGCTTAGCTTAGCTTAATTTATTTAAGCATAGTCGTGATTTCACAACGAAAACTACAACCTGTTGATTATATACACAAAATAATTGTTTTTAAATATATATGCCACATGTAAAATCTAATTTAGAGATGCTGGTCAGTGGAATTTGTAACACTTTGACTGATCCAAGCTGCTGTTCCGTTCTGTCTGTATGCTAGGCTAAGCTAAGCAGCTACTAACTCTATCTTCAACACAGTCTCACGCCATTTTTAGTCACAAAATTAATCTATTGATTCGTGTTCACCAACACGATTTCGCCATTTTTTTCGCGTCACACAGAACAATTTTAAAAGCAATATAAATGATAACAAATTAGAAGGAAAAAGAGATTAAGAAAAATACAGATTTCAGTATTCTGACACAGAACGATTTTAGAAGCAATGTATTTCTTTTGGTAGTATGTTTCATGCCTGCACCAAATAATAACAAATTAGAAGGAAAAAAAGATGACAACAAATACAGATTTCAGTATTCTGAGGCTCTGAGCCCCATTTCTTTTCCTCACGGACGGCAAAAAAACTCCGACATTATAACATTAAAATAAAAGGGTTAGGCTTAGGGAACGATATTGAGTAAAGAAAATGTTTTTATGACCACACAGCTCGGTCTTCCAAGACCCGACTGACAAAAAGACGTGGTGCAGGCAACGAAAACATACTACCAATAGAAATACATTGCTTTTTGAAATCGTTCTGTTGACACGAAAGAAGTGCGAAATCGTGTGGTTGAAAACACGAATTCAATAGATTAAATACATTTCGTGACTATAAACACGAAATGCCGTGAGACTGGGTTGTATATTCAATATACTCATCACAGACCATGGAGATTGGTATGAACTTGTGAACAAATCCAAAAGGATGTTACTTTTATTGATCCAGCATTACAGTAAAAAGAGACAACATTACCCCACCTAATATTGGGAAAAGCCCCTAACATGTTCATCATTAAACAAATTACAGGGTTAACTTGAATTCATTATATGGCCTACATTTAATTTTTTCCTTCCAAATCTTGGTANATGGCAAACACTGGTGGTTTATTTGGAGTTACGGCCG